TGTTGGTTAAAGACACAAGCTTTCAAGCATCACAGAGCTCTTTTTCAGGTCCAATATTCAGTTCAGACAGGTCGGTATCATTCACAGCAGTCCTGTCAGTAAATCAGAAGAGTTCTGAAGGTTTTTCTGAAACTAGAGAACTAGTGTGTTGGAAACTTACCAGATTGTCTCCCTACACTGGGTGGTAAGAGGGAACTGAGGGAGGGTCACAGCTGCCCTGCCCTTTATGTCCTCAGACAGGAGCATGAGGAATAGGGCACGAGTGGCCCCGATGGATGCTATTAAAAAGATTCCAATCTCACACTGACACATATTCATTGACGATCTTAACTTTGTAATTAAATGAAGCAGACTTGTGCAGTAGCAGGCCATTCTTTTAAAAGTCAATTTTAAGACCACAAACACACTTTAAAGTAGGAACTGAGCATTTCTTTTAAAAGTTTTCTAAGCCTAACAATTACCAACTTTTTGAGAATTCTTTACCTAACAGTGTTTTATTTAGCTGCCTGGGCCTGATTTATATTTTAGACAATTGAGAAATATTGGTAGTAATGCCAGACACACTGTAAATGGCTGTTTGGTCTTTATTTCCACATTTTTAAACAACCATGTACACTGGGCTTTTGCTACTCATGTAGAGATCGGCATAGCTAAGATTATATTTAAAAAAATCAGAGAGTGATCTCATCATGGGGTAAGCTTTATATAAAATGTCTGAACTCATTCACAAAAACTGTTTATCCACCAATTACATAAGCATCTTTTTTTTTTTGTTTGATTTTATGGGGCATTATCTCTGTAACATACCAATGCATACCCTGCCTCTAAGGCTTCAGCAGCAGTATATGATTTGCATTACTGCTTGACTAAGGCTTTACACGCCTCTTCAATTTTTCTTAGGGTGGTGTCCCAAAGGACTCAAGCCAAATTCTCATATGCAATCCGACAGTTAGCCCAAACAGAAATATGTTGTACATGATGTGTGTCTGTGGGTATGGGAGGGATGGGGCATTAAGAACCCTATGTAAAGGGAGGGATATAATTCCTTGGGAAGTCCATGAAATAATTAGAAAAACAAGGATCAAATTTGGTAACTATATGACTACTTTATTTCATTCTAAACGATCTGCAAACTCCCTGGAGTAGCTTACTCTGATAGGTAAAATACTGCCATAAAGTAGAAATACAGAATAGAAATGAAAGACCAATTTTCAACTCGGTAAAAGGTTAAAGCAGGGTGACATGAGGCTCTGTACAAGGATTGGAGTTCAATGATTTTTTAATTATCTTTGTAAAATGGGTGAAAAGTGATATTGCAGAATTTGCAGGTGGCACAATTCTAGAGTTTAGTCAAGCCTGCAGAATACTCTGAGGAACTTCAGAGGGACCTAACAAAGCTAGGTAGATGGGCAGCACTAGATCAGATGAAATTTGTTGTTGACAAAATGCAAGGTAGTGCATAAAAGTGAAGGGGGAAAAAAAAAAAAAAGAGAGAGAAAGACCCAAGTGTCAGCATGGACAGTTCAATGTGCTCTACAGCAGCGGTTCTCAACCAGGGCTTTGCCTACCCCTAGGTGTACACAGAGCTCTTCCAGGGAGTACATAAACTCATCTAGCTATTTGCCTAACTATACAACAGGCTACATAAAAAGCTCTAGCGAAGTCAGTACAAATTAAAATTTCATACACAATTGACTTGTTTATACTGCTTTATATACTATACACTGAAATGTAAGTACATTTATATTCTAATTGATTTATTTTATAATTATAGGGTAAAAATGAAAGTAAGCAATTTTTCTGTAATAGTGTGGCTGTGACACTTTTTTGTATTTTTATGTCTGATTTGTAAGCAAGTAATTTTTAAGTGAGGTGAAACTTGGGGTACGCAAGGGAAATCAGGCTCCTGAAAGGGGTACAGTAGTCTGGAAAGGTCGAGTGCCACTGCTCTACAGCAACTGTCCAAAGAAAATACATTAGGATGCATAAAGGAAGAACATAATACTGAGAACATAACACCATTAATCAAACTATAGTTCCCCTTACTTGGAATACTGTGTTCAGTTTTAGTTACCCTACCTCAAAACAATGTGGCAGAAATAGAAATTCAGACATGGGTGATGAATATGACTAGATCATGGCAAGATTTTGTATGAGGAGGAATTGAAAAGACCAGAACTACTTCGTTTAGAGAGGAGACAAATGGTAGGTGATATAATGGAAGTATACAATATAATCAAATAGCACAGAAAAGATAAACTGAATGCTCCTTTTATCCTTTTTCACAATCCAAGAACAAGTGGGATGTTCAGTGAAATTGGAAAGCAACAAATTCAAAACGGATACCTTCAAATACTAAAAAAACAAAACACCTGACAACATAACTTAAGAGACTCATTCCTAAATGATATTGAGATTGCTGAGCTGAATAGTATTTAGAAAAGGATTAGACATGCAAGGTGGGTGAGAGAATCTTTTATTGGACCAACTTCTGTTGAGGAGAGAGACAAGCTTTCGAGCTTACATGGAGCTCTTCTTCAGGTCACTGCATACAAAAAAGGATTAGACGTTTATATAGTTCAAGTAAATGTCCAGCATTAGAATTATGTTTAGGAAAGGCTATAAACCTTCATACTTCAGGGCATATGTAACAGAGATTAAGGAGAAACTTTTCTGAAGGTCAGGTTAGACCACAATTGTCTACTGTGGGGTTTCTTGCACTCACCTTTGATGCATCTGTTACTTGATACTGTCAGATACACTGAATAAAATGGACATAGAATGAAATGGACAAAAGTGATGGCAGTTTCTCTTGTTGTTCTGATTAGTTTATCATGTTATTAGTCATTCTTACAGCTTGGCATGGATACGGCCCTTGCTTTAAGTTAATGTCTCTGTATTCTAACTTATTTCTATCAACCCCATAGGTCTTATGTGCCTTCCAGGGAGCTTACTATTTAAGGGCATGTCTACATGGAAAATTATACCAGTATAGTTAGGTATCGGTAGTATGGCTGTAAATTTCCTCATGTAGACAAGTCCTCTTCTCAGGCAAAATCTCACACAAAAAGGATTGGGAAGGAAAAATGGCAGAGTTTCTGCCAATTTTTCTGTTGAGTAATAAGTTTGATCACCCTGTGGAAGAAGTAGATCTGCTGAGATCTACCTGGAGGCAAAAGCCTTATGCATGGAGGCCCTCTGACTCCACAATAGCTCTGGAGGTCTCTTGACCTCCCTCCAACCCCTTGGCAGCGCAGCAGCAAATGAGCCATGTGACAAAGATTCCCCTTGAAAAGCTACTTCCCAACAGGAGGGATACAGCCCCATGTTATATTAACTTTTGTGTGAGATCCCTGCAGCATGGGCAGGAGGATGTGCATTCCCAAGCACTTCCCTATATCTCCTATGATTTCTCAGACCTGCAGAGGGCTCTCTTCAGGACTGGGGACACAGGGGAATAGTACAGCTGATGGTTCCCATCCTTCCATGAGGGAGACCTAGGTGCAGAGTCCGCTCTGCATGAAGGTTAAACGGGGCATGATCTGGTACATCTAGACAAACAGCAACAAGGGATAAAAAGTAGGTGATAATATAATGGACAAGTGTTACGGTTTTTATTTTTTAAATATATACATTTTCTAAAAAACTAAGAGTTGGACTCCACTGCGTTATATTATCTAAAGCTTGGCTCCTTTATCTTTTTAATAGTATAAAATAAAACAGACCATTAGATTCCTGGCATTAAAATCATGTGGGACAACTAACAATCAAGGTGCTTAGTTAACACAGAACTAGTAAACTTTCCCAAGCACCAGTCCCTAATCCTGATATAGTAAATAATCAGTTAGCTTTTCATGTGATGAGGGACAGTAAAATTGTATGTCAGCTGAGAGTTTTTCAGCAATATAAATCTGCACAAGCTATGCACCTGTTTGTCTTATGACTCCCTGACACCATTGACACATGCTTTCATGTGTATACGGCTCTACTAGTGCAATTCTTTCTTAACTGGGCTTCAGCACCAGTTGTAACTTGTTCTGAATATAGGCAATTAAGTTCACCCTGTTTCATTTTTACATAGGCTGGCTATGAAATGACATCACTTTAAACTGGCAGTACTATCTTTCAGCCTTATGCTGATGGGTATTTATGCTCAGACTCTACCTGTTCTTTTAATGATCCCATTTTTATGCCTTAGGACAGGCGTAGTCAATTATTTTTTGTCAAGGTCCAAATTTCTTGGTCAAGATATAGTCAAGGTCCCGACGCCAGATAACAGTAAGTAAATAAAAGATTTTGGGGGCCATTCAAAAGTGTTTGACGGTCCGGATTTGGCTTGTGGTCTCCTTATTAACTACCCCTGCCTTAGGTTATAGGCAATTGCATGCTCCAAATTTAAAACCACAAAAAACAGTACAGACTACACGTTGCATGAAGGTAACTTAAATTATGGGCTTCACGAGAAGTAAGAATTGCGATGAAAAGGCTGGGCATGGTAACCAAGTACTTTTTGAAGACAGGTTAGAACTGAATTGTGAAGGTGGTGTTGCAATCAGTACAGTTGGCATAGTTCCCATAAAGGGATTTTATTAAAATAAAATTTTGGTAACAAGCATAAATAGCAACCAGCATTCTACGTAATAGTTATTAGGAATGCACAGTATCTGCATTTTCAACATTCTTTAACATTTTTACTTTAAAAGATAGAAACAAGTCCATCTAACAGCTTTAAGTTAGCAAAATCTGAAAGAACATAAAAAGATCAGCAACATATGAGTAATTAAGGGGTCTCTTTTTCTCATGAAGAACCTCAATTTCTACATTTCTTCATTTCTCCATACTGTTTTTCAAATACATAGTTTATGTAAGTATTCACTTAATGACCCATTGTTCTCTATAAATGTTGAAAACCATTCTAGATCCTCAGTTGGTATCAGGCAGCATAGCTCAACTGAAGTCAAGCTGAGACTTCAGTCCCATATGTTCAGAGAGACATTAGCTTGATAAAATATTTATTTATTCAATGAAAATACAATTTGTCAGGGCAACTTTGTAGTTTGGTTTTGTATTCAGCTCTTCTCTTCTTTATTGTTAATCATGACCTTCAGATTACTGAGTTGCTTCTCTGAACCTTCGACAATTCAATTTGCTAAAGCTATTTAGTTTTGGATCAAATTCTGCATGCCAAATTTCAATACTGTGTAAAGTAATTCTAATGAGAAGTAGGAACAAAAAAGTCTTTCCATAAATAAAGTCACTTTTGCAAAATGTCTTATTCAGATAGTATGTTCAGGTGGACAACCAAACGATATAAAAGCAAGCAAACAAACCAATTGTTTTTGTCACTTGCAGTATCTATCGGCTTTCAATTTTGCTCGCCTATATGAAAGAGAAGACAGACAAAATTTAGGTTACACAAAAGCCATAAAATGTGAACAGCGTGATAGTCACAAGACATATGAGTAGGCTGTTATAACATTTGCTTCTACTTAACTTTGGAACATTTGCAAATGACATTAGAGGCCTGTTAGTACTTTTGATTTGTTTGGTGGCTTTGTTACTTTGCACAGCTAGCATTTGCTCTTGCATTAGAGCCGTAAGGAATATGCCTGCTGGTTGCACATGCAACCTTAAAATTTTGGAGTTTTCTGACTTCTGAATCATGAAGCCTTAGTCTTTTACTGTTTTTTTAATGGACTTTTTCAAAGACGGGGAATGTAAAGAAAAATGATTCCAAAATCAAAAACTATTAGGCTGGACATCTCTGGCATGCCACATCACACTTAACAACGAAAGGCTTCATTGGAGTACACAGTGAACATCACAGAAAACATTATGCCAGGTTCATAAAATTTTCAGTTGCACAAGTCAATGCAATGGGGCAGGGCTCCTACGGAACCCTAATGCCTTAAATCGACATGTCAACAATTGTACAGTGGTAGAAACAGCTCTTAATGTTTTTTGCAGCTGAGTTAATTACTTTTAGGTACACAATACAGCTTTCTTTTGCTTAGAACACTGGTAAGTAGTGCTTGGGATATTCTGCATTCCCCAAATACTGCACCTGTACAAAGTGCTATTCTCACACCCTCATAGCTTGGTCAAACCAAGACTGGTTTTCACTAGACAATGTGAAAAGAATCCTCAATAATGGCTATTTCCCTAAAAAATGCAACTTTCTATCCCCATTTTGGTGTCAGGGTTGTTGAAAAAAATAAAAGTAAGAATTTTGCTTTTATAATACAATATTATTGTTCTCCACTCTCCTTGTACTCAATTGATTGAACCAGTTTTGCTCAAGCTTTCCATAAAAAGTTCTCTTTCAGGTAGAAACCAGGCAGGCCTGAAAAATTTCAGCTCAAAAGGGGAGTTTCAAAAATATATAGGCAGCAGAAAATGGACTATAGTGAGAACATTCAGGCAATCTTCACTCTAGTTGTCTTTAGCATTCCAGGTATATCACAGATTCATCTGTCAATAGCTTTCATTTAATTAACAGATGGAATTATTTGGATTTTAAAATACCTGTCCAGCAGCATCTCATGGAAAGTGCCTTCTTTTCTAGCTTTTTTGAGAGCTTTACTGTCTTCTTGGCTTATTTTGAGTTTACGATCTTGGAAACTTTGGAACTTCTTTCTGGAAACAATAAACAGTGTGAAAATAGCTCCAGTTCTATTGAAACTTTATATAATAAAATGCAATAGTTGTGCTGGGATTTCAAAGTTCAATTCCTGGACTAGATTGGTGGCCTAAAAGTAGAACAAGATGCAAGAGAATCTATAATAGTCTCACACGTTGCACTGAGTGTTGTGGGTGCAACGTATTAGAATCATAGAATATCAGGGTTGGAAGAGACCTCAGGAGGTCATCTAGTCCAACCCCTTGCTCAAAGCAGGACCAATCCCCAACTAAATCCCCAAATGGTCCCCTCAAGGATTGAACTCACAACCCTGGGTTTAGCAGGCCAATGCTCAAACCACTGAGCTAGCCCTCCCCAAGGACACTGTTCTGAGTTCATGGGTGGCGGGTACAATAGGCCAGGGGTGTTGCTGCTGTAGCTGCCGGACCCCTGGTTGCGGAGTTTGGTGGTGAAGTTTTTGCTTTATTATGCCCCAAGCAGGTTCCGGGGCGGCTGAGGAGGTAGTATGTGCCTCCTCAGCCACCTTGGAACCTGCACGGGGCATATCAAAACCGTCTTCTAACAGATGCTTTTCCCTTGGGCAGGTTGGGTCCAGGGAGAGGAGGGGAGGTATGGTGCGGCTTCTGTCAGCCCTGGGCTTCTCCGGGCGGAGGTGTGTGGGGGAAAACAGAGGAGGGGAGGCTCGTCTGAGAGGGAAGACTGTCATTCAGCAGGAACCTCTCTGGGTGGTTAATGTGCAGTGCTGACAGACTCTGAAGAGAATTTCATTTGATTAGAAGGATGGTGGGTCAGGATTGTTTTAAACAAGGGGAGATGGGGAATCCTTTGTGCTCAGATATGGAAATGGATAGTTTATTTTGTGACTGTAGAAGGCTGGCAGCTATATAGCTTTCAATTACATACACATAGTTGATTTCACATTGTTTAACATTTCCTTTGTCTTCTTCTGGAATGTCATCTTTCTGCTTAGCTTCTCTTTCAGCACAAGTACGGATCTAGTTATTGGGGAAAAGGAAAATAGAAAATGTACATTATACGAACTACAATTGATAGTAAGAAAAAATTAAACAAATTCTAACTTCTCCTGGTACTCAAGCTATTACAGATGTTGGATTTTTGAGTAGGTCTTTTCAGTTTCACAGCTTGTTAGGATATAACCAAAGATCTCTTAACAAAAAAGTTGGTTCTATTCTATTCTGGTTAATTTTTTTTTTATAAAGCCTTTGCTCCTACCTTGTTATTTTATATATAAAACATACAAACACTAAATAACATTTCACATATTTCTTGAATATACAAACAAAATATATTCTGAATCTATAGTATTAAATACTACATTTAAGTGATTAGCCAAGATTCATGCGGTGACCAGTTCCCCCGGGGTGCCACTTGGAACTGGCGTTCGCCTGACCCACCAGCCTGGGTTCCCTTTACACTGTGCTGCTGTGACAGGCTCTCAAGCTCCCTTCCTGCAGACACACAGGTCGGGCCACACCCAGCTGCAGTTTCACACAGATGCTGAGATCAGCTCTGCATGGGAAAGCTCAATTAAGGAATTGCCCAGCACTCAAGTGCACACCCCCTCTGGAGTGTAAACCCAAAATTGTCTTGTCTTGTGCTGCACAGAGAACTGTACAGTGTAAGCTCATGAAATTCGCTCCCTCCATCAATGTGGAGGAAGATTTGCACAGCTTTTTGCCCCCAACTTAAGAATTCCACAAACTGGTTTTAGAAAAAACAAAAACAAGTTTATTAACTACAAAAGATAGATTTGAAGTGATTATAAGGGATAGTGAACAGATCAAAGCAGATTACTGAGCAAATAAAACAAACACACAAACTAAGCTTAAGCTACTAAAGTAACTGGTAGAAATACCCAATTTTAACCCTAAATGTTGTTTTAAGCAGATTGCAGAGGTTCTTGAAAGCAAGCTGCTCTTGCTTGAAGCTTAAAACTCCAGGTATCTCTTTCACAGACTAGACAACCTTCCAGCTCAGCTCCTCCTCTCCCAGTCTTTGTTTCTAAGGCCTTGTCTACACTGCCACTTTACAACACTGCAACTTTCTTGCTCAAGGGTGTGAAAAAACACCTCCCTGAGTGCTGCACATTTCAGAGCTGTAAGGTGGCAGTGTAGACAGTGCACCAGCGCTGGGAGCTACTCCCCTCGTAGGGGTGGTTTTTTTACAGTGCTGGGAGAGCTCTCTCCCAGCGCTGGTGCCGCAACTACACAGCCACATTAAAGCACTGCCATAGCAGCGCTTTAACGTGGCTAGTGAAGACATACCCTTAGATGTTTCTAGCAGTCATCCTGGGCAGGGATTCAGTGAAGAATGAACCACAATTATGTCACTCCCCTGCCTTAAATAGGTTTTACATATGGCTGGAATCCTTTGTCTTCCAGTGCGATTCCCACTCTTGGCCAGTGGAAGAGTACTGATTTTATCGTGGAGTCTAGTACCAGGTGACTTGATCACATGACCCTGCAGCCATAACTCAAAGTCTATTTGCAGAGTCCACAGGAAGGCTTTCCAGGAAGGTGAGATATTAGCATCTTCAAAGACCTATTGTTTTTCCTAATGGCCCTTCCAGCCAGCAATCTAGACCGACTGCATTGTTTAGTGGGTGTTCCCCAGGTGTAAACACATTTGTAATAGGTAAATAAAATAAAAGTATAGACAATATTCCTAACTTCAGATACAAAAATGTACATGCATACAAATATGATAATCATAATCATAACCATTCCAATGATATCTCACATGACCCATCTTGCATAAAATACATCTTAGTTACGCCATTATCGTAACAGTATTTCTACAAATTATATGGGACGTAATGTCACACAAGTTCTGAAATAGTTAATGCTCTGCTATATATATGCAATTAAAACATAACATTATCTGTACTTGGCAAGATGAAAGAGGACTTGGAGACTCCTATTTAAATTGTATAATCTTACAAGACTGAGTTCTTAGCAAATTTTATATATCAAGTTTTAGATTAAGTTTATGGAATTTTAGAAACTAGAAATCGAGACAAGATTTTTTTTTTTTTTTTTACCGATTTAATGTCCAGGAGTGACAATACATTGCATTTCTAATTTAACTGATGTTGAATTATAGATGGAGCTTAAGTGCTTTTCCATTACAAACTGTGATAGTCTTGTTTTTACTAACCAGGGACATCTTGTACTTGCACCCGACACCACCAAGGAAAACCCAAGTTGCTGTCAGTTTCTGGCAAGGAGGAGGTGGTACACTTCTGAGCAAGTGTTGAACAAATAATTTAGCATACTATTAGGGAGCAATTTGCTGTCAGAAGTACAATCTGGTTTGTTCAGACTGAAAAAGACAGTGACCACTTGTGGTCAGAGATCTTGTGGCATTCACACAAGAGTAAGGAGTTTCCAATCCTGGTTACCTGGTATAAGCCAGTTTTGTTGAGTATTCTGCCTACCTGCAATTTCAATTGAGTATAATTATCTTCCTGTCTTAAATATTTAGGCAGCAGATTTGTTGAAAAGCTGCCCCATACCACCTTGGAGATGTCTGTAATTCAGTGATGAATGAAGATGCTCCTTTATGTGCAGTTTGTAAAGTGAATTAGAAAAATTCATGATGAAAGGTATTATGTAAACTTAAGATGTTAGAATGTTTGTTCCATAAACATTATGGATTGTGCATAGTTTTGCATTTTCGATTATAGCATTCAAGCTGATAATATAATTATAAAGTATATATCTCACACACACACACACACACAGATTACCTTTATCATTTCTTCTTCTCCTGCAGTTTTACTTTTGGCTTCTATATCTCCCTCTTCATTACAGGTGATAAAGCAGCTATTTGCTGCTAATAAAGCCATTTTCCCCTGTTAAAAATACCACCACTTAAATTAGTACTGTGAACAAATTTTAGACACACGCCTTAAAATTATAAGATTTAATTCTAGAATACTCCAGAAGACACCACAGATGTCTTCTCACCTTCTGCCTAAGGAACTCTTAGTAGCCAGCCTTGCGGATCTGCTGTCTCTTTTACTCTTAGGGTATGTCTACACTACGAGAGTAGTTCGATTTTAGTTAAATCGAATATGTGCAATCGATATTAGAAAGTCGAACGTGTGTGTCTACACTAAGGACAGTAATTCGACTTTGTCAGTCCACAGTACCAGGGAAAGCGTCGACATTGGAAGCAGTGCACTGTGGGCAGCTATCCCACAGTTCCCGCAGTCCCCGCTGCCCATTGGAATTCTGGGTCGAGCCCCCAATGCCTTCTGGGTAAAAAAATGTGGCGAGGGTGCTTTTGGGTAACTGTCGTCATCCGTCAGTCACTACCGCCCTGCCTCCCTCCCTGAAAGCGCCGGCGGGAAATCAGTTCGCGCACTTTTTGATCAGTGACAGCGCGGACGCCACAGCACTGCGATCACGGATCCCACTGCGACCATCGCTGCAGTTGTGGCCGTTCTCAACGCCTCGCACCTTATCATACACCTTACCCTGAGGCAGATGCAGAGTAATCAGGCGAGGAGGCTACGGCACCGCCGTGAGGGCCTGAAGTCGGAGAGTAGCACAGAGCTGTCAGAAACCACGAGCCCCAGCGCCCAGGACATCACGGTGGCAATGGGGCATGTGGATTTTGTTGAACGGCGATTCTGGGCCCGGGAAACAAGCACGGACTGGTGGGACCGCATAGTGCTTCAGGTCTGGGATGAATCCCAGTGGCTGCGAAACTTTCGCATGCGGAAGGGCACTTTCCTGGAACTTTGTGACTTGCTGTCCCCTGCCCTGAAGCGCAAGGACACCCGCATGCGAGCAGCCCTGACTGTCCAGAAGCGAGTGGCCATAGCCCTCTGGAAGCTTGCAACGCCGGACAGCTACCGGTCAGTCGCGAACCACTTTGGCGTGGGCAAATCTACCGTGGGGGTTGTTGTCATGCAAGTAGCCAAGGCAATCGTCAAGGTACTGCTGTCAAAGGTAGTGACCCTGGGAAACGCGCAGGCCATCATAGATGGCTTCGCTGCGATGGGATTCCCAAACTGCGGTGGGGCTATAGATGGGACTCACATCCCTATCCTGGGACCGGGCCACCAGGCCAGCCAGTACATCAATAGAAAGGGCTACTTTTCAATGGTGCTGCAAGCACTGGTGGACCATCGGGGACGGTTTACAAACATCTATGTCGGATGGCCGGGCAAGGTTCATGACGCTCGCGTGTTCAGGAACTCTGGTCTGTTTAGACGGCTGCAGGAAGGTATTTACTTCCCGGACCACAAGATAACTGTGGGGGATGTGGAGATGCCTACAGTGATCCTCGGGGACCCAGCCTACCCACTAATGCCCTGGCTCATGAAGCCCTATACTGGCGCCCTGGACACAGAAAAAGAACTGTTTAACTACCGGCTGAGCAAGTGCAGAATGGTGGTGGAGTGTGCTTTTGGCCGTCTCAAGGGGAGATGGAGAAGCTTACTCACTCGCTGTGATCTCAGCGAAACCAATATCCCCATCGTTATTGCAGCTTGCTGTGTGCTCCACAATCTCTGTGAGAGCAAGGGGGAGACCTTTATGGCGGGGTGGGAGGTTGAGGCAAATAGCCTGGCTGCTGATTACGCCCAGCCAGACAGCCGGGCGATTAGAAGAGCCCAGCGGGACGCGCTGTGCATCCGGGAGGCTTTGAAAGCCAGTTTCAAGGCTGAGCAGGGTACCCAGTGACTTTTAAGTTTGTGGACACAGAGGCAGAACTTGCCCCCCTTTCTTTACCCAGTTGCCGTCGACTATCCTCTCCACTTACATACCCCCTTCACCCCCTTCCCAAAAAATAAAGTCTGTTCTGTTTTGTTAATGGACACCGTTGTCTTTATTACTGTTTTCGCGGGAATGTTTTAAACCTGGGACACAGACTGTGGCGGGGGGCGGGTTTAGGGTTGTGATGCAAATGATGCCTCTAAACTCCAGGAATGACAGGCTCCGCGGTGGTGGACTGGTTGTTTCAACGGAGCCTGCCAGCCCTCCTGGCCGGGACTGCGTGTATGTGTCGGCTATGTGACTGTCTTGCAGGGGGAGGAGGGTTACAGATCCCCTGCTGCGCGGCTCTGTGATGCAGGGTAAGGACCGCTGCATAAGATCTGTAACTGCCCTCCCCCGCCACCAAGTCACAGAGCAACACCACCGCCCCCACCACACAAAACATGAAAACCACCTCCCAGACTGACCAGGATAACTAGTCACTGCACTGTATATGTGCCCTGCTGCTGCACCTGCCCCCTGCTAAAGGTGACTGTCCTGTCCAATGACCAAGCCCCTTCCCCCCCCCTTCAGACAGACTCCCCTCCAAAAGAAGAGGATGGAAACAGAAATGAACAGAAACGTATTCTTTATTAACAACCGCACATGGAACGGGGGGGTGAAACTTGGACGGGGTCTTGTGTGAGGCGGGTAGGAAAGGACTTTTCAAATTTTGGGGAATGAGAGCCTTCTAGTGGTAGAGCAGTCCGCAGGGGTGGAGTGAAATTTTTCACGGCCCCTTCCACCCCTCCGTGTTTGGACTTTGGGTGAGGGGGGTATGGGACTTGGTGGCGGGGCAGGGCAGTTACAGAGAGACTGCAGCGGGGCTCTCTCCTCCTGCCTCCGGTCCTGCAGAACATCCACAAGGCGGCGGAGCGTGTCCGTTTGCTCCCTCATTAGTCCAAGCAGCGTTTGAGTATCCTGCCTGTCCTCCTGTCGCCACCTCTCCTCCCGTTCCATGTTTGCCCGGTGCATTTGGGACAAGTTCTCCCTCCACTGTGTCTGCTGGGCTGCCTGTGCTCGGGAGCATCCCATTAGTTCAGCAAACATATCTTCCCGTGTCCTCTTCTTCCTCCTCCTAATGTGCGCTAGCCTCTGGGCAGATGTGGCTGTGGGAATTGGAAAAAGGGAGTGAATTCCTGAGACAGAGCAATGTATCTGTGAACAGAGAACATAGTCTTTCTCTGTGAACAAGACCATGCAGAGCACCTATCACACGCGCACTGAGGACAAGGTCGAATTTTCGGCCCTCGCCTACAGTGCCTGCGGTCTTGCTGTGGCGAGCTGAGGAGCAGGGCTGGACACCGGACTTTGTCTAGCTGGCAAACATGGTAAGCCGTAGACTTGTGGCCGCTTAAAACTTTAAGAGTGGCACTGGCCTCCTTTCAAATAGAAAGCAATGCGAGTCTCTGCTGGCAGCAATCCTGCAAGCATGAACTCTGCCCCTGTCCCACCCCCTCGCGGCTGTAAACCGCGTGGCTGTAAACCGGCGGTTGCAGTTCTATAAAGGGACGGGCAAGCAGTCCCAATACTAACTTTCCCATACCTAATTCACAGCAGGGAGCCATGCCAGACATCACCCTCCTGAAGGTCTCCGAGAGCCAGAAGGAGAAGATGCTCCGGGACAGCCTGCAGAAACCGGGGCCATTTGCTGCACTGCTGTGCAAGGCCATGATCCCGGAGTACCTGCTGGCGTTGTGGCAGGGAAACGTGTCCTACCACGGGGGGCCTAATAAGCTCTCCCTGCCCAGGAACCTGCTGATGAGGCTGGAAAAACACCTGCAGGAGGTGTATGAGGAGTTCTCCCCGGAGGATCTCGCCTCTATCCCCGGTTACATTGACCAGTTCCTGGCTTAGGTGCCCTTGGAGGGACAAATGACTGCAGGGTTTTGGGCACTATAATCATGAAGCGGACATTGTGCAATTTTTTGAAAATGGTTCGGACTATATATTGAGGCGCCCAAAAAAAGACAAATCATGATACACTTTGCACTGATTCCCCTTTTGTTTGACTTTACTGTTTACATGTTTTGAAGCACTTTACCCACTGTTCATATTTTCAATCTTCCTGTTTTGTTGCAAATAAATGTTTACATGTTTTAAAGCACTTTAGCTAATGTTAATATTTTAAATACGCCAGTTATGTTGTAAATAAATGTTTAGATATTTAAAACACTTACTGCTTGATCCGTCCCCTGAATCTGTGTCTGGGGTAACGGCTGGGGAGGGTTGGTAGGGGATCTCTGTCAGGGTGATGAAGAGCTCCTGGCTGTCGGGCAAATCAGCGTTGTAAGTGCTGTCTACTGCCTCGTCCTCCTCATCTCCTTCCTCCTCTTCCCCGTCCGCTGAGGAACCGGCCGCGGACAATATCCCATCCTCAGAGTCCACGGTCAGGGGTGGGGTGGTGGTGGCGGCCGCACCTAGGATGGAATGCAGTGCCTGGTAGAAACGGGATGTGTGGGGTTGGGATCCGGAGCGTCCGTTTGCCTCTTTGGTTTTTTGGTAGCCTTGTCTCAGCTCCTTGATTTTCACGCGGCACTGCGTTGCATCCCGGCTGTAGCCTCTCTCTGCCATGGCTTTAGAGATCTTCTCATAGATCTTTGCATTCCGTCTTTTGGAGCGCAGCTCCGAAAGCACGGACTCATCGCCCCACACTGCGATGAGATCCAAGACTTCCCGATCCGTCCATGCTGGGGCCCTCTTTCTATTGGATTGCACGGCCATCTCTGCTGGAGAGCTCTGCATCGTTGCCACTGCTGCTGAGCTCACCACGGTGTCCAAACAGAAACTGCGATTCAAACTGCCCAGACAGGAAAAGGAATTCAAATTTTCCCGGGGGAGTGGCTGGTCAGAGCATCCGAGCTCGGACTGCTGTCCAGAGCGTCAACAGAGTGGTGCACTGTGGGATAGCTCCCGGAGCTATTAGCGTCGATTTCCATCCACACCTAGCCTAATTCGACATGGCCATGTCGAATTTAGCGCTACTCCTCTCGTTGGGGAGGATTACAGAAATCGATTTAAAGAGAGCTCTATGTCGAACTAAATGGCTTCCTGGTGTGGACGGGTGCAGGGTTAATTCGATATAACGGCGCTAAATTCGACATAAAAGCCTAGTGTAGACCAGGCCTTACATTGTATATTGCTGCCAAAACAGACAAACATTTTGATTTAAAGTCTTTAAAAATACAGTAATTTACCCAACTGCAACTTACAAGTTAACTAGTCTTTATAATCTTGCAATACCTGTCATGTCATTGCTTTACCACCTGTATGGAAGTGTATCCCATTAGCACTATTAATGTTAAGTTTAAAACAACAATTTTTACCAAGAACATCACCTGCAGTTAATATTAGAGATAGCTTACATCTTGGAAGACAGGTTCCCATTGCTCTCTTGATCCTATTGCATCTGATCGTCCAATAACAAGACCATCTGAATTTATGCCAAGGTATTTGCCATAGCCAGACTTCAGTGCAATTCTTAGAGAAATGAGGGGAAAAGATGCAGAATGTTTTAAAGTTAAAACACTTTAAAATATTCAGTATATCAAAGAGGTTCAGTATTTTGGTTCTAGATATACTTCTAAGAGATAGCTGTTATAATAAAGGAGATTTTAAAGAGGGATATTTAGCTTTGATTCAGGGTACGAGATCGCATATAGCAGTCTAAATGAGACCTGATAAGACATTCTTGAAGTAAAACCTGCACAACATCAAATTTTTCAAAAATCCACTGGAGTAATTACCTGGTGTCAGACAACTTTACTGCTGTAAACTGTTCAGGAGGACTAGGGCCATCGTCCTCTGAAAGAGAAATTTTTTTGAAAATTATTATCAGGTATAAAGCATTAGATATAAAATTTTTGAATTTATGAGACTAAGTTTAAATAAAGCTGATAAATTATACAAGAATTATTGGTGTACAATACAGGAAAAGGCTATGATGCAGGGCCAGATATTGACATAAATTTTCAAAAGAGTATCCAACTACTGTAAAAGCAAAAAAGAGTTTTATAGGAGTTATCTAAGCACCTATATGATTAGCACTCTACAAGACACAAATAAAGCCAATCCCTGCCCCCAACAAATTTAGGATTGAGAATTTATAGCAATTCATGGAAAATGTGTATCTAAATCCACTGCATTGCTTTGTGAATCTCAGCCTATGCATTATATAAGCTTCTCATAACAAAATGTACTTGCACTGTTTTACTTGAGCGCATGACTAGAATTCAGTATTTTAAAAGCCACCACCACTTTTGTAACATCAGGAATGATATACTGCCACTATTCCTGGACTGGCGTTACCTTACTCTGGGGTTGAAAGATATCCAAATTCACTCTGCTTCCAGAATAGGGATTCCCTACTTGAGCTGTGCCTCTCTCACTCCCAGAGTGAGGGAAAGACCAGCTACCAGGCCACCTCCACAGAACATCTACATAACAATTACAGCACCCTTTGTTGTGGAGTGGGAGTTGTTGGTTGGTAAAAGAGGGTCCTTGTCTGACTTGAGTTTCTCTTTTTATAAGACAAACTGACCTCATACTGGTTTTGCATGGTTACTTACAAGAGTCATACTGCTTTCCATCTTGTTAAAGGCCTAAACCTACAGGTGAGCATCAGGAAAGGAACTGAATTGCACGTATAAAGAAAACATCAAGACTAGCTTAGAAAAATTGATTAGTGGTCATTCATTAGGATTATTATCCTCTTCGCTGTGCTATGCAGACATATAGGATAATATTTTTTATTATGTATATTAACTAGCATCACTATAAAAAATCTTTAGTTTATTGACTTGAATAAAAACTCTCCATTTAGCAAAATACATTTCATATCTCAACACTGCAAAAATTTCTCTTTTCCCGATACAAACCTTTATGTGGTGCTCCAAGCGTAAAAAGGCCATTGTCAAGAGCGTGGATATAAGCTCCCTTGTCCAGTTCTATTGCCACAGTTCCTGTGATTTCACCAAAATTTTTTACTGCCCACCAGCTTCCTAAAATATAAGAAAATGAAATAACATAGCACACTGACAACTGGATTTTAGCCAAATACTATTATTTGAATTAGCATAGCACCTAGGAGCCCTATCATGGATCAGAACCCCATCATACTAGGTGTTGTACAGAACAAAATGATGGTCCCTGCCCCAAAGAACTTGCAACTGTCTTATAAGATAGGAGACCACAGATAGATACATACAGACAGGGGAGTACAAGGAACCAAGACAGTATTCGTTAGCATGATAGGTTGCTGGTATGCTGAGACCACTGCCTAACTGTCATCGGTCTTTTTGTAGGCGTCACGGCAAAGGAGAGGTTTGGAGGATAACCATGTTGTGGGGAACTGCTCTTAAGCACGAGGGACAGCATGGGAGAAAGCATTAAGGTGCTTATTTGAAAATTTAATAAGTGGGTGACAGAGGCTGGCATCAATGGCAGATCAGAGATGTGAATCAACATCTCAACTGTGCATGAGAAGTTATAGGTAGGGTTGAGATACACTGTGCAGGGCTTTGAAAGTGAAGAGAAGCAGCTTATATTTGACATGATAGAGAAGGGAGAGCCAGTGGATGGTTGCAAAGAGAAAGATGATATGGTCAAATTAACAGGCTAGGAATATGATCTTTGCAGCAGTATTCTGAATGGATATGAGTGGGACAAGATTGCATTTGTTACAGATGTTAAAAAGAGAAAAGGATGTTCCAATGATTGGGATGATGAGAGCCTACACCACAGTGTTAGCTGCATGGATGGATAGGAAAGGCTATATCTTAGAGAAGTTTTGCAGAAAGAATCTGCAAGCTAGCTTAAATATGAGGACCTAGAGAGAGGTCTGAGTTGAAGATGATGCCCAGATTATGTGCCTGAGTGTCAGCAGGAAGATGGTGTTGTTCATGGTGATTGAAAAAGAAAGTGGTGCAGGAAGGGCATTGAGGGAAGATTAAAAGCTGTTGTAGCCATGTTGAGCTTCAGCTGATGGCTAGACATCCACAAGGAGAGAGAGACAGGTTGAATTTTAGTCTGGGTAGGAAATAGATCTTACCTAATAATATGTAGTAGCATTATAAGCTTCTACTGTTTAGGTAGTTTGCTGTGAAGCCTTGATTGATAATTATAGTTAGGATTAATTTGCTCTTGCAGTAAAACAATTACAATCCAGAAGCTGAACAAAAGTGTTCTGGCATCATTCCCTTTAAAGTGAATAAATGACAAACAACAAATACCCTATTTGACTGATGGCGTAACACACTGCAATTAGAAGTTAAACTTAGCTATTGGAAAGATTATTTGTAGCCTTAAACTTAGAATGGCCTTTTCTTCTTTTCTTGGAAGCAGCCAAAAGAACATAGTGTGTGTAGAGAAACAGAGGCTATTGGACATCAGACCTCCCTTATACTCCATATAAAAAAAGATTTCTGTTCAGATTTTTTAAACAAAGTCATTCATTTATTTTTCTTTACTACAAGGACTATGATTTATAGGTTTACAAACATGCCTACAAATATAGTAAAGACAGAAGGGTTTTGTATTCATGCCAGAAGCCCAAACAAGAAAACAAAACAAACACCCTAACTTTTCCTGTCTTTATCTTTACTTCTATACTGGTGTGCATGTCCTTTAAAGCCAACTCACCAACAATATCAAGCTGATCTTCTGCATTTTCTTCTCTTTTTCTTTTCTTATCTCTGTGTTTTTTCTTACTGCAAAGCGAGACGACAAAATGGCTAAATAATAAACCTTCCCTAACTAACCGTGTGTGTCTGGATCACCACCACTAATACACAGTAACACAGGGGAGAGAGGGAGAAGGGGGCAGGTCACCAGGGCAAACCTCCGCTCTGACAGGGCAACCCTTGGATCTGCAGACCTAGCTGTCCGCAGGCTCACGTTGTACCCATCTCAGAAGTCGGTTTTTAAACTAGGGTGACCAGATGTCCCGATTTTACAGGGACTGTCCCGATTTTTGGGTCTTTTTCTTATATAGGCTCCTATTACCCCCCATCCTCATCCTGATTTTTCACACTTGCTGTCTGGTCACCCTATTTTAAACCGCTTTACTCAAAACAGGGCACGTCCCCGTGTGGACGCTCTTGCTTTGGTTTAGTTTACACCTGATCCCGGTCAGTTTACGCTACAGCGAGCCAAGGCCGCTTCACTCCGGAACGAGCGCGTCCACACGGGGACGGGGGATAGCGCGCGCTCTGACCGACGCGCAGTGACTTCACGACTGGGGAGGAAGGGAGCGAGCCCCGGGCAGGGCCTGGGGCAGGAGACGGACCGGCCTGTCCATGCCAGGGAGTGGGGCTCATCGCGGCGCGTTGGCGACCAATGGGGAGGAACGTCCCGGCCGCTTCGCACCTTTTCTCCTTCGCCCCCTTGAGAACTAGCTTGGTGGATTTCACGCAGGTATATTCCGCCATCTCTGAACTACAGAGGCCGCCGCGCAGTGGTACATACACACAATCCACCCCTTCCTGCAACTCCGACGGGGGCCGCAGAGGGACAAATGAGAACGGTCGGCCCTTAGTCAACGCGTGCGAACGATGTGCACATGCGCAGTGGGGAATCGAAGCCCCTGCCCTCACTTGGCTGCTCCCGCCCCCTACGGGCGGGTGTTGTGAACGTCTCTGCGCCAGCAGTACTGGAGGCGGGGGCGCCCCCGCGCCCAAAGGGACCGAGCTCTGGCTGGGGGCCGGGCAGAGTCACAGCGGCGGGGCGAGGCCCTGCACGGGATGGTTTTTTGGAGGCGGGGGGAAGGTTAGAAGAAGGGAAAAGGCCCAGATCTGCCACTCAGTGCTGGGCTGATGCGGTTCTTGTGCCCGCGCTGGGCTCGGGTGCGGGATTGCCAACGCCAAAGGCTCAGCGCGCGCGGGCGGCTCCCCCCGACTCCCAGTCATAAGATTGAAAAAAATCCCGACCTGGCTTCATTGTCTTTGTCTTGTGAGTTTTCACTCTTTAGGGAGCGCTTGTTCCTGTTGTCCAGCTTTTCTCTGCAAGCCTCAGGGCTAGAGATTACGTCTACACTGCAATTAGATACCCACACAGCTGGCCCATGCCAGCTGCCTCCGGTGCTTGGGGCTCTGACTAAGGGGCTGTTTAATTGCCATGTAGACGTTTGGGCTTGGCCCCCTCCCACCTTGCAGGGTCTTAGAGCCCAGGCTCCAGCCATAGACCTAATGTTCACACCACAATTAAACAACCCTGTGAGCCTGAGCCTCAGGAGCCCCACTCAGCTGGCATGGGCCAACCACAGGTTTTTAATTGCAGCTTAGACATACCCATAGTCTATGTCTACACTACAACTTCCTTCATCAGTGTGACGAGTATGTGTAACTAGACACCACAGTGAAAAGCAGCGTGTGTCCACACTACAGTATGTCGCCACAGATGTCGATGAAAGGGTCTGGCTGGGAGGCAGCAGGGAAAGGCTCAGCTGCGGGGAGCTGCCAAAGCTTTTCCATGCTGCCTTCCCTCTGCCAGAATCTTTCCCCGCTGCTGGAACCTTTCCCTGTGGAGGGGAAATACTCCAGCAGCAGGGAGGCAGTGGGACACTACACTGCTAAAAATAGCCATGTAGATGGTGGGAGGTACTGCTTAGGTGTGTAGAGTGTCATGTAGGGGACATAACCAAAGGGTTCAGGTATGTTTTTACTTGCCTAAGCAGTACCTCACTGTCTACACTACTATATATATCTATGCTAGGGGTGTGCATAATGTCTGTATTCTACACGCCACCAAAAGGAGTGTGCAGTATAGATGTACCCTAAGGGTTTTATAGTACAGCCTATCATCATAATATCTGAGCATCTTCCACATACAATCAATATCAATAGCCAAGACCCAATGGACTTCATGAGGTCTCCGGCCCTTCTTCCTTTTCAGGGTCAAAACTCTGTTTGGGATAGGTTGATTCTTTTTTTTCTTTTTGGGTGGTGATGGAAGGCATTTGGAAATAAAAGGGTTGTTTGAACTATGAGCATCATTTATGTTGAAAAAGCTTTCTCAAAGAGGAAGGCTTTGCAACATTTCCTAAAGATGGTCACACTCTAGATTCATCTGATTTCTTCAGGAAGATTGTTCCATAGCCAAATCGCTTCAACAGAGAATGCTTTGTCCCCAGCTCTCACATGCTTTATTCTGGGCTTTCAGATCTCATTGTCCCAGAGGAGCGCAGCTGTCATGGTGGTTCAGAGATCAAAAATTAGACTTTGCTGTAGGTGGGCCTTGATCCATTAATTGCTTAGAAAATCAGGACGAAAGCCTTAAACTAGTATCAGAAACTAGTGTGATGGGCCACACTAAGAACTTGAAGAAATTTGAGCACAGGCTTGATGTGTTCATGGTGGCCTGAGCCATGGAGAAGGTGGGCAGCCACATTCTGTACCAGCTACAGTCAGTGCATCATCTGCATATTCATTTTCATATATGAGTTACAGTAATCCAGTCTGGAGGTGACAAATGCATGGATCAGTATGGCCTGGTCCTTGTCCGCGTGAGAGGGACAAAGTTTCATATCAAGCTGGAGATGAGAGAAGGCATTTTTGGAAAATGATGCTTCCTGGTCATCCAAGCTTAGTGAGGGGTCAAATAGGACCCCGAGTCTTCACATCAGTTTGACGAATGAGGGCTGCATGTCTTTGATGGAAGGTGAAGACAATGACTTGGCCAGCTCTTACAAGCTGTTCTTCTTTCTGACCAGCACCACTTTGGTCTTACCTGGGTTCAGCTTGAATCAGCTGCTCTTCATCCAAGAGCTTATTTTCTGTAAATGTTCTGACATTTAAAAAGTGGTGGTGGTTGCATCAGTTGAGAATGAGATATATAGTTGAGTATCATTGTCATACGGTTGACAACTAAGCCTGTAGCATCTCACTCTCTCTCCCAGTGGTCTCATGTAGATATTGAAGAGTTGGGGGGATAGTAGGTATTGCTGCAGGACCCTTAGGTGAGGGTCTTCAGAGGGAGAAGAGTAGTTACCCATCACTACTCTGAGTTATGCTGGAGAGGAATTATTGGAGCCACTAGTGCTGGGTTGTCTGCTGTGTCAAGTAGGAAAGTTAGTAGTACTTTCTGGTCCATGGCGTCAAAGGCTGCAGAGAGGTCCAGTAGCATGAGCGTGGAGATTTTACCTGTGCCCATGGTCATGAGGAGATTATCTTCTGTGCCACTAGAGCCAGTTATGTGCTCTAGTCTGAACACTGTGAGGCATCCAGGATGTTGACTGATGTCACATATTGTTGGAACTTAGTGGTTACTACTTTCTCAGTTATTTTTCCCAGGAACAGGACGCTGGAGTTAGGTTAGTAGATGGAGAGAGATTCAGGACTGAATGTTCGTTTCTTGAAGTTTGGGCTAACCGTTGCATTTTTCAACAAGTCTGGTAGTTACTGGTATGTTTTTTTCTGAAAGAGGCACTGACTATTTCCTTTAGTAGTAGGCATAGTTCTTCGCTGGCTTTCACCAGCCAGAAGGAACATGGATCCATTTCACAGGTTCATAGCTCTAATAGTCTTTGTGGCTTCTTGAGCTTCGGCATTATGTGATGGGCCACACTAAGAACATAAGAATGGCCATACTGGGTCAAACCAAAGGTCCATCTAACCCAGTATCCTGTTTTCTGACAGTGGCCAATGCCAGGTGCCCCAGAGGGTATGAACAGAACAGGGGTAGCTCAGTGGTTTGCGCATTGGCTTGTTAAACCCAGGGTTGTGAGTTCAATCCTTGAGGGGGCCACTTAGGGATCTGGGGCAAAATCAGTACTTGGTCCTGCTAGTGAAGGCAGGGGGCTGGACTGAATGACCTTTCAAGGTCCCTTCCAGTTCTAGGAGAGAGGATATCTCCATTAGTTTATTTATTTTCATTTTTTAATCATTAAATAATCCTTTCCCTGTTGCTCATTCCCAGCTTCTGGCACTCAGTCAGGGGTGGTGGAGTGAATAACACAGTCTGGTCATGGGTGGAATTTTCTTTCAAAATTAGCTCCATATGTAATACATTTATCTTATCAATGACATATGCTGATAGCTCTTCACCAGGGGCGGCTCCAGGCACCAGCGCACCAAGGGCGTGCCTGGGGCGGCAAGCCGCGGGGGGCAGCCTGCCGGTCGCCGTGAGTGCGGCAGTCAGGGAGCCTTTGGTGGCATGCCTGCAGGAGGTCCGCCGGGCCTGCGGTTTTGGCGGCAATTTGGCGGTGGGTACGCCGAAGGCGCAGGACTGGCGGACCTCCTGCAGGCATGCTGCCGAATCTGCGTTACCAGCGGACCTCCCACAGGCATGCCGCCGAAAGCCGCCTGACTGCCGTGCTTGGGGCAGCAAAATACATAGAGCCGCCCCTGCTCTTCACAATGGTCAATGCTTGGCTTTGGAGTCTGAGCTGTGCAGTCTGGGTTGATTAGCTGGTTCATTATGCAAAATAACTCTGCTGGCTGGAATTCTGCTGTGTTGATTACAGAGGAGTAGAAGGATCATTTTGCCTCCTATATTATAGTGTTTATATACTTGTTTTGCCATTGTTAGAATGTTAGTATCTAATATGGGAACAAAGATGTCCTGACCATTTCTGATTAAGAATATAATGCGTTATAAGGGATATATAAAAATTGACTGTAGAGTTAGCAAAAGCAGAGTAAAATAGCTGGGTTTTTTTGGTAAGATTTTATAAATAAATGCAAGCAATAACAGATTGCAGTTTGTTACATATGCATCAGATAACTGTCAAGTATCAGA